TGATATGATCTCATTCTTTTCAAGGTCTATGCAAACATTTCTCCTTCATTATTCACTGATATCTTTAAAAAGTCGTAAATCAAATTTATCAAAACTTTTATCGAAAATTAAAGATTTGTACCAAAATATGGATTGCATGGAAGTAGATTATCTTCGAACAATTCTTCAATAATGCTATTTTTAAGAATCTTTTCCCGAAGGAATAAATTGATGGAAATGAAAGCAGTCAGAAACATTTTTCATCTTTTCATTGCATGGATAATGTTTACATTTTAACTGAGCAACAATATAAAATTTATATTTGAAATCATTTATCTCAAATCTATTTTAATTGTGGATTTCATTAACAAAAAGATGAAATCAATAAGGGAATTCATTCCAAAAATGAATCTGATCTCTCAATTCGTTGCAAAAAGGAAAAAAAAAACAAAAAAAGACCAAGAAAGAAATTGAATTGAAAATTGAATGGACTTGTATAAATTATTCTCACCTATTTCACCTCCCCTTTTTCTCTCCTATTTCATTTTATTAACTTCTTCAAATCACTCAATAATTCCCATCTGTCCTCACAGACAGGAAGAAACTCGTTCCTAATACAATAACATATTTGTAGTAAATGATAAAAGTGCCTGCTGTGAGTGTTGGCTGTTTAAATGAAAAAAAAATTTCAAATCCTGTAAAATTTAAAAACAAAAAAATAATTTTTTAATACCAATAAGTTAAAATAGGATAGCTTTTATATATAAAAACTGATATTTTATAATATAGCAATAACTGAATATTTTATAGTTGATGTTAATACAACTTATACTTTCAATTCAAAATATTCGCGAAGTCAAAGGTCAATTTTGCAATTTTCAAGTTTGCATAACAGTTTCTGTTCATTGGGTAGAAAAGAAATATAGTCTTGAAATAATATTTTATTTATTTAATAATATTTCACTTAATTCAGCAATGATTCATTTTTTAAGTACACTTACCACTAAGTACACTTGTACAACCCATTTATTCCTTTCACCATAAAAAAATATGAAAATTTGCTCCTCAAATTATTTTGGTTGACAATTTTGGTCAAATTTTACATTCAAAAATTTCGCTCAAAAAAAGAATTTCATAAAATTTATTAAGAGAAAGTGAAATGAGAATGTGATCGAATGAGATATCACAGATTGAAAGACATTTTTGAAATAGTTTTACTGCAAAACAGATAAATTGCAGGACCGGAACGTAATTCTTCTCGACATTCATTCCATTCATTTCCAAATTCTGATTAAGTTGCTCATAACTGAATGCGTGCATAATGATTATTGCAGATAATATTCGAGATAATGATAAGAGACTCAGCTCACTGTATCCCTCAAATTTAAAATTTCCAAATTGCATTTCATAAATTAATAATAGATGAGCAGAAATGTTCATATAAATACAAAGCATGGAATAGAGTAATGTATTCAATAAATCATAAAATTAATTGAATAAATCAAGCCTGTAACAATCAATTAGTTGTAAAAAGTAAGTTAGAAAGTTGGTAAGCAAAAAACTTTCATTATGTGAATAAAAATTATAAATCATCTTTATTAAGTATGAATTTTATTCAAATTTAAATTTTGCAGCTAAGATAAGCAAGTTCAAGTAAAATGGTTGAAATAACAATCGCTTGAAATAATTCATACAGAACAGGGAAATGAAAATTGAATTGGGTCATGATGAAATAGGACAGGTGAAACAAATTGATTGCAGGTATAATGTATGAATGAAGCAACATAGAGAGTGTAATTAATATATGCAAAAATGTTACTGAGCCAATTGTGATGGAAAGAGACGAATGGAGTCAACCGATGCAAATCATCACGAATAATTACATTCAACATACTAATCTTTGTAATATTAATCATACACACATCTTATTATGAATAGAAACAACTCTTTGAAAATTTCAACTTTACAGTTTTTAAATTTGAATTTTAATTTATAAAATACTAAAATTGACACAAGCCTTTCATATTGTAGGAAATGCTTTCCAAAAGTATCATAATGACTGATAAGATAACGAGACTTTTTTTTTGAAGATTATTTGTTAATTTTTCAATAAATATTTTGTCACGCTTCCTTTATAATATTTTACCTGTATATTACAAAAAAAAAAAATCCCTCTATCGGGTTATTATATTTAAAAATAAATAAGGTAAAAACACAAAAGAATCTTTAAAATTATCAAATTTGATTAAAATTTCATCGTATTTTACAGTAGCATAAAAACAAAATTGATCAGATTTTGATGCTTACGTGAGAGAAATTTTATGAAAATGTGAAATGTTATGGGCGGAGAGAATGTGCTATGGCAACATATTGCACAGAAATAGAAAGCAACAAATATTTGCATTTCCATTTATTGTGATCAATTAAACAGAATTGAAAGTAAATGTAACACAGTTTTGTTATAAAATTAACAAAAAGAAGTTCCTCTTATCCTAAAAATAACTTGAAATGTTTAATTAGCTGAGAATCCATTCATGTTTACTTGGAATTCAAAAAAAAAAAATGAAAACGAGTGTGCCAAAAAAAAACCGTAAACAAATACGTTAAAAGACGTGAAAAAAACGGAGTGAGTCTTAAGAAAGAAAGTCATTCAGTTCAGTACCTTATTATTGTTTACCTTGCGATTACTTGGAAATTTATCAATTTTTCATTATTCAAAGTAGCATTTCCCGTTATCCTTCGTTTCATTTATATTTTCTGAAATTTTGCAGTTTCTTTTCCACTTCAGAACTTTGGTTATTTTTTTTTTTACAATAAAAGCAATGATATTAAAATCAAATTTCGTTGCTCAGGGAAAAAAAGAGCGAAATAAGCAAAATTGTATTAGTACATCAAGCAACTTAGCATACAGTTCCACTTTGTCATAAATTTGCTTTTCTGTTCATGGCATTCAGTCGTTTAAAATGCAAACGATAAAACTGATAATAAATCTTAGTATTCGTTACAAGATTGCGATAATCTACCCCTTATCACTCTATCAATCCGATAAATTTTCTGCCTGATGGAACATGATATTAAATTCATTCTCATTTCCTATCCAGCAAAGAATAAGAATTACTGTACTGAATGAAGTTTAACAAGCTTTTCAAGCATAAAGAAATTAATTGAAAATAAAAAAGCTGAAATGATTTGAGAAAACGTAACAATTAATCAAATATAAAATAATTAAGTGGTAGCTACTGAGAGAGTGAAAAATTGATAACATTTTTCGGTAACTACAAAGATAAACAACGACATACTCATTTAACCAAACAATTCTCGTTTTTGTCAAAAGTACAATTACTTTAGCGATCAAAACAGTATTAGTGCTCTAAATGATAAATTTAGTAGCATTACTACTGATAAGAGATGTCATTGTCTTTCCTTTTGCGATGTAATTTTAAATAAAATTTTTAAAGAAGCATAAGAATGCAGTAAAATCATTTCATTTCTCTCACAGAATACTAAGTATATTGTCAGTAATAAAAATTAACTACCACAATTATAATTTTCTTTTATAAATCTTATGAATTAACTAACGCCTAATTCTTACACCTTATATTCTTTTATTAATATCAAACAAACTGATCACTAACCAAAGTATCGTTTGTACTTCTATACAACAATTTTCTGTTTTAAAAATTTAATCATTTAGTAATATTGAAAAAATGAATGAAATGAAAGTTAAAAATCTTAGCTATTTATCTAAGTTAACTTTTCATTTTGAAACAGACCAATTAGTTGTAGCTGCTGAACTCCATTAACACTGTTAGGAATTACATCAAATATTATCTTTGATCAATTAATATAAGTCTACTTAATAACTATTCATTAAAAATATTGTTCAAAGATAATATGCTTAATTTCTAAACTTCATTACCGCCTATAAATCATTGATGAATGAATTAAGCATTTGCATAAAACTAACTAATTCAGATACAAAATGAAAGTTTACTGGAGAATCTCTGATCATAATAATTACTTTTTAAAAAAAATTCCAAAATTATTTGTGAATTCGAGAATTTTCAGTTCATTATTTTGTACAAAATTTCAACTTTACATAATCACTGATCATAATAATTACTTTAAGAAAAGTTTCAAAGTTATTTGAAAATTTGAAAATGAAAATGAAAAAGAGCACCTTAATTTTGTATGTTATTGTAATGGAAAGTAACGATGAAGAAGAAACGAAAATTCATTTACAATAACTCTCTGTAAAGTTTATAAGCATTGAATGAAAAGCCGACTGCTATTTGGATGAATGAATTGGGAGATTAAAACAGCTGTAATCAATGTTAACTAATGTGAGATACTAAGCATCATTCGATTTATGCTTTGTTATAAAAACATTTGTCAATTTCATCGAAATGAGATTATTTCCATTATTCGTTTCATTTCAAATTTTTTAAGGATTGAATTATTTTTCAGTGAAATATTATCGATGCAATCTTTTTAGGATGAGTGAAACTAACCAAATTTTAGAGATGAGAGTATTTGGATGATGACGAAAGTAATGACAAAAGAAAATAAAATATTTGGAAATTAAAAAATATTTAGTAAAAAATGAATCCTGTTTTGAATTATGCAGCTGAAGAATCTTTTTTCTTTTTTTACTTATTTTTTTGAATAATTAAAAAGACACTTCTGAATAGATTGATTACTTACATATCAGATATGAACAATTTATTAATTTCATTCATATTTCTTGTAAAATGATGAAATAAGCAATAAATCGCTGGAAAGGTCAATATTTAAATTACAGAAAAGATTCACCTGAATGAAATTTTTGAGAAATGGATTGGAGATTAGATGCTGCTGATCCTAATGAATTCATTCCATTGCTCAAGTTGATCTTCTTTAAACATTCTTTTTTCTCCTTATATAGCGGATGTAAACCGGAATCAGAATCCGGAAATAAGTGATAATGAGGAATTGAAACTGGGAGAGCATTTTGTTTACTTATAATTAGAGACATGAAAAAGTTAAAAAGAAGTTAAGTTTGCTAAAGCAACCTGAATGTTTTATATTTTCGAAGTAATTTTAGGAGAAAATAATTTGATCAGTGAATAAATCTCACATGTCGAGTGTTCACAGAAATGTCGAATTTCAGGTGCTGCTAGTGAAGTGGAAATTTAATTCATGTTGAACTTCAGTACAAATTTTAATTCTATAAAATATCAAATTGAATTGCGTAATATGTTAACTGAATGAATTGTTTCGAAATATAGTTTAATTGTAACCTGCAATTGCATCAACGGATTGTGATCTCCCGTATCATACCGATTGTCTGTTTTATCACTCATATCATTTTGGATAGATTTTTTGGCTCGTTGTTCTCGAATTGCATTAAATTTCTTCAGCAAACGACGTACTTCTTGTAAACCATTCTGTTCACTTTGCTTCCTACCAGACATTTTAACTGCAAATTAATGAACATAATTAAATCATTTTCCTGTTCCTTCTCAATTCGAACTTCAGTTAAAACACTGCAAAAGTTAGTTGAATTATATTAACTTTTAACAGCAGGAAATCTGACACATTCGCACGCTCCCGATCACTTCCACGTCATTCATTCTTCTCATTTTATTGCAACAAAAAAAAAAAACAGAAAAAGACAGACTACTGTTGGAAAATGAAAATTTGTCATAATATCTAACAA